GAAGAAAGCAGAGTATTTAATAACATCACCTTATGGGTAAAGAGGGAGTTCTTGAATAAAATTAGATTATAAAAGGCCAGGTTTTCAGAAGGAAATGGAAGCATGCAACCAGCCAAGAATACATGTAATATAGAATCAAAGATGAGAACACTGTAAGGGAATTAAAGTTCAGAATGACATGAAACTGGAGGGGAAAAGTCAGCAAAAGGGAGTTTCCCTGTGAAGTTCGAAAGATGATGATGAACGGGAAATGCAAGGAAAAAGCTCAGTCCTAAAGGGATGGTGTGATTTGAAAACCACCTGTGGTTCCTGAGCTCCCTGAGGCAGGGCCATAGCATCTATACCTCTGCACGCCTGAAGCCAGACAGCGACTGACTCACGAAAAACATCCCACCAAAATTCCTTAAACCATATCACAGAGGAGTAAGTCAATCATTTAATTCCTGCTTAATTGTCTTTTCTATGGGGGAAAAAAAAATATTTTCAGAATGGAAAATGTGGAGCCAACAGCATAAAATAAATGAAAAACATGAAATGGTTACACTCGATGACAGAAAAAGGGAAAATTTTGAGTCAGTACAGAAAGTACTTGCTAATAACTCAAATAGCCTTAAACTTGATACAGGCATCTTACAGGATAGTAAATGCCATTACCAAATTTATCACTAATAAAACTTCCCTCACTCTTTTTCCATTATTCATGTAACTGTTTTGGGTTAATAATGTGATATATCACTGCATTAACTTTTTATATTTTATTGTATATTTATCTGATGAAATTAGAAATTAAAATTATAAATTCCCTATTCCTTTTGTCTAAAAATTATGTAAAATTTCATTAAACAAGCTCCAAGCTTTCTTGCTCCAAGCTCTTTTGTGCATGAGATGTTTAAAAACAATAAAACATTTCCACTGTGTTTGTGTGGAAAAAACTCCAATAAAACCAAATAATAAAATTACAACATTGTTTTACCCCTTTTTACAGCATCCTAACCGAAGGTGATAGTTTCTTCAAATATCCAGTATTCCAATATTTTTCTAAAATAAAGCAGGTATTTTATTAAAATGGAAACTGTATTAGATCACTTACAGGATCTGTGAGCACACAACAGGAAAACATTGCTCAACTTCTACTCAATCAGGGCTTGGGGTGTTATGTATGTGTAGAGGGGAGTATGTAAAATAAAATATCAGAATTTGAAAAAAAATCAAGCAAATATCAAACAGTATCTCAGATCTTCATCAAGAAAAGATATCGGAGAAAAGGATGGAAGTCAATGTTGAGAAGAACAAGAGAGTTTTTATAATTACGAACTTTATTTTTATTTACTATGCCAACATTTTCAGGAAAGAGACTTTACACCCGGTTTTTATAATTCATTTTACAGGCAAATTCTAATATACAGTATGTACTTTGAACCAGTTTTTAAAGTCAGTGGGAAAAACAATACTGCAGATATTATTTTTGTTTTCAGTTAATAGTGACTTAGAGACTTTAAATTCTTAGGGTCAGCATTTTTTGTCATGGCAATGCTTTTACCAAGGAGAGCGGGTAGCTTTTCCCAACAAGGTTAAAATATATATCTTTAATAAATGTAGATTGGCGCCCACCATCATAATCACTTATCCAAATGTATTTTTTCAAATTGCTGCAGCAAAAAAGGGGATATGTGGAAAGATCATTAGAAAACAGAATTCAGGCATAAGAATTAAGATAGCAAGGCCATCATCCCCAAAGAAAAAAATCAGGTATCTGTATTATAGTTATAATTAACTTTCGAATGTGTGCAGGAACATGCAGACATAACCACCCCAATTAATTTAGCAACATGAAAACTACTGTGTAATATGGACAGTAAACTGAAACGGTGCTGCAGTCTTACTGTCTTCATTGCAAGCCTGTTTGATGATGCCAAAGTACATCCCCAGTGCCCTAGAGACCGGGAAACGAGTATGACAACTCTTCTCAGAAACCAAGAGTGCGCCTCCGTGTCTGTAACACCATCTATGCTACAGGAACATTCAGAAGTGACAGCTATAGAGGGACCAAGTTCTCCTTGATGCACTGAGTAAAATGAGTACAATACTTAAGGGGACAATGGAATATTCAAAGAAAACTTAGTGCTTTAATGGGAGAAGTGACATGCTGAGGATATAATTCTCTGAAAGGCTGTACTGATACCTTCAAACAGCAACAATTACAGAGAAATTAATTTCAACAAACAAAGCCACACCCAATAGGAGGCATTTTGATACTTCAGGCACAACTCTAAGCAATTAAGCTCATTTAAAGTGCAAACCTGATATTTTCTTTCATATTCTTACTTAGATTTTTTACTTGTTAAAATAGTTAGTTCCCTAATATCTATATAAATACAACGAACAGTAGTCTATATGCCTGAAAATATTGCACAAATGAAAATGAGACTCCAAAAGAAAAATGTTACATGGTCTCAGTTATTAGAAACATTCTAAATGGCTTAACTCTATAATTCTTTGTTTAATGCCTTAAAATCACCTGCACCTGTACTGATAAACTCCTTAGGCCAAGCTTTCTTTAAAAATTTGATATGTATACCAGCAACAGTCAATATTTATTTTCTGCATACTCTATTTTCTCTTTCACAAATGTTAAACTTTACCAACCCCATAAAACTTCTTCCTCAGGACTTAAAATTCATACACTGCAACCATCTTCACTGATGTCACAAGAACTAAGAGAATAAATGATGTGAGTTCCTGTGGAGGAGTTGGCACAGAGTTGATTTATAGAAGCAATAAACAGAGATCAAGCCAAATCTGAGAAGGTGATCTCTGATTACTCAGTAGAGCTACATCCAAACTTCCACTTCTGACAACATTTACTAAGGAGCAGACAAGCATAATATTCTTGCAGTTAAAAAAAAACAAAAACAAAAAAAAATGCAGGCAAATACTTCGTTGTTTGTGCAAGCATCCTAGATTTTTTTCTCTTAAATACAATATGCTTCATAATTATATCCATGTCTATCTTCTGCCAAGATTAAGGCTTAACAAAGGTACAGAGAAGTTGAACTGATAAGTTAGCATTTCTGCAAATTCATCAGGGAGAAAAAAATAGAGCAGGAAAAAGATTAGAATAAATAAATTACTGATATTTCCCTCAGAATAGGGGGCTAAACATAAATTGAAAATTTAAATCTTTGGGCTGAACCCGTGGCTCACTCGGGAGAGTGCAGCGCTGGGAGCGCAGCACTGGGAGCGCCGAGGCCACAGGTTCAGATCCTATATAGGGATGGTCGGTGCGCGTGATCACTGGCTGAGCGCGGTGCGGACGACACCCAGCCGAGCATTACAATCCCCTTACCGGTCACACACACACAAAAAATTTAAATCTTTCCCCCTAAGGATAAGTGTGATCACTGGCTGAGCGCGGTGCGGACGACACCCAGCCGAGCGTTACAATCCCCTTACCGGTCACACACACACAAAAAATTTAAATCTTTCCCCCTAAGGATAAGGATAAGGCCAACTAGTAAATAATGTTTCATAACAGTTTATACCAACTTCTAAATAAACCAAAAACTTCCTAACTCATTAGTATGTTTTACTTTGGGGAAATACAGTATGACAGCATCCTATTTGCAACGTATGAGACCATTTTCTTTCTTCAAAGTGAAAGACCACATGTGTCCAATTACAGCTGCAGCCCTCATGCTTGTCTCCATGAACCAAGAAGTGCTTTGTTGTGTGTCTGATGATTCCGTACTAACAGCATCTGGACTACATGAAGAACTTTCTGAACCTCAGTGCCTCTCCAGCAGAAGTGCCACTGCATGCAGGTATGATACTAGATCTGTGCGGCTCAGTTGTTACCAAATCCAAGGATGGTTTGTATCCACTGAATGGCCAAGTAATTCAAATGGTTCTCTTAGGTAAAGAAAGGCTGTGTCAAAATGGTAGCAAACACCTCTTTCAAAATTTCCACTAAAGTTCTTGCTGTTGTCTCTGTTATAAAGGGGTAGACAATACCACCAATACACATTCTTTAAAGGAACCCCTAGAAACTTGAGGGACTAATTTTTTGGCCATAATCCCTTTTGATACATTTTTGGCCTGCTGCTCAAAACAAAAATTGACCTTGTAAGGTTCTCTGTCTGAAAGATATTAATTACAATGAAAGAAACTACAGGTGAATATCCTGAGGATGACATGATTTGAGAGAACAGGATGGCAAGTTTACTGAACCTTCGGATAAGTGGCCCGCAGCATGATTAGGTTTGTGCACGTTTGCTTGGAGGTTCCACAGCTACCTTTTGTAGCACATTAAAATATTTCCTTTGAAATACCTTTTAGTACCTTTTAATAAAACACAATTTCCCATCTCTACTTCTGTTTTTCTTCCCAAATCTACTTTTCAAGACATGGTCACCCAACAGAAAAGGGAATTCTAGGAAACTCACAAAAACAAAACTACTATAAATTCTAGCTTTCTCAAGAAAGTCTTACTTAAATTTATTGTTTTTCTCAAAATATTTTAACTTGTTTTGTTATATAAAATAGTTTTAAATCCTTCTGTATGAGATATTTATATCCCATCAGAGTTTTGTGCAAACACTTCAAGTCTATTATCCCAGTCTTCAGATATTAGCAGAAAGTCAATAAATATCAATGACAAGTAAAGACTTAATTTAAAATACTGTGGAACCTTAAAACAGCTATAATGAATCCATAAGCCTTTATGGCTCAAAACTTAATTACCAGCAAAACTCTAGCACCAACATATGTTACAAATGGATACATCCTTGGGTATAGGTTTCAAGATGTATCTCAAGCTCTCCAAAATTTACCCAGTAGCAAATATCAACACAAATGTGTATGTGTAAAACAAGATGTTAAAGCAACATATAATTGGTTTATATATAACATGAAACATTTTCAGCCTGGGGAATTTGGCAAATGAATAAATAGTTAACATCAGCTAGCTGATCCTTGCAAGGAAAAATAAAACTTACATAGACTTCCCATTAAAAGCCTGATCTTTATTCATCAGAAAGCTTTTGCATAGACCTTTTAAATACACAAAACACTGGCCAGAACTCTGCTTACAGACTACCATCTTCCATTATCACCACAACTTTAGTGAAAATAGTAGCCATATTCACAGGAGGGACAAGTGAAAAAGAGTGAGGTTCTGATAAGCACAATTAATACAGACCTTAACAGGACTAAATCAGCAAAGCACACTTCTTGCCTGCTAAGTGGAATATTATCTGATGTGCAGAGGGATGGATAGCATGATTAGAGCCTTTGGCAGGCCCCTGAGATAGGTAAGCAAACTCTGTGTTTACCTGAGACAAGTATACTCAAATGGTATGTACTTCAACCAGGATATAAAATGGAAGGGCCAAAGTAGTAGAAGCTTCCACACTTTAATTTTAAGATTTGCAGACTTTCAATGAAACCTCCACCATGGTAGCAAACTGCACATAAAGCTATTAAAGGACAGATTGTTTTTTAACAAAACAAATTGGCAGGTGATGGCTATGTATTTAATGAATCTTTGGTTTAGGAAGATGAGAATATCGAGAATATCGACTGGAGGCCAAACAATCCCCAGAATGCAAACTGCCATTCGAATTGTGCATGATTTCTTTTCGTTGAGTTAGTGGTCTTGGGATGCTTGTCTTGGCCTGGAAGTTTTGAGGCTCCAGTTGGGGGTTGCTTATTTGTTTTTGTTTGAAAGAGCCTGAAGGGGGACGGAGCTTAGACGCTTTCAGATTTGGATTATTTGCAAGATTTGTTTGACTAGATGTTGGCTGAAGTTTTGCTGAATTACATGGTGTGATTACTGGTGACTTCTTACAAGTGGGAGTTCTACTTGGAGATGATTCAGAACCTGGAGGAGGTGCCAAAGAATTCAAGCTGGACGGTTTTAAAAGCTGCAAGGACTTGGGCTGAGACGTGTAGCCCACTGGAGGAGACTGATTTCTTCCAACTCTCTTAGCCTGGACTACTGCACTTGACTGGGGAGGTGTCTGAAGAGAAGTGGGTACAAACTGCATGTCACTAATTTGATTACTTGCCAAATGATAAGGCTCTTGAGCATTCACGGTCATATTCAAGTTTGCTTCCAAAGGTGTTCTCTTAGACCAATCCATCGTGGACTGTGGGTTTGATGAGTAAGGCCGGTCTTCCAAACCACAGTTGCTTTCTTGTTGCAAGCCTTGTGTAAAGCTTCTATCCAGATGTGCAACATCCTGACACATGCCTTGGACTGCACATTCACTGTGGGCCTCGATATGTTGTGGCTTTATTAGTTTTCCCTGGGCGTGGTCTGTGGGTCTGGGAAGGCTGCTGGAAGGCTGTAGTACTTGAGGCTGTTGAAATTAAAAACAATATTAGCAGCAATTTACCTGAGAAATGCCACCCAGAACTAATATAAGTTCCAATTAGGCTGTATTGGTACTTATTATGCTTTAATATGGAAAGTATGTGGGAGAGGAGTTTTAATTAAAAAATGAAGTGCAATATTCAAGCGAATTCATGGGACACATATAAGAATGATAATGCAAACACAAAATGATACAGGCAATAAACACTAAACAAGGTCCAAACTTAAGTAGGGGAAAAGAAAACATTAAAGTACAGATTTATTGTAGAAAAAATTTCCTGCCTTAATAGATTCATTAAGTATTTAAAACCTTATATATCTGAGAGTTTGACAGAATGACTTCCATACCACTTTGGTTTAATCTCCACAAAGTATTCAGATATTAACTGTGACCTTCAGAATATTACCCATTTTAAAGTTTTTTTTAAAGTAAAGTTGTACACCATGTCACAAAGTGCTGGTACCTCTGGCAAGAATTAAAATTACCAGCAGATAAACAAGGTTTAGAGTAAAAATTTTATTGTCAGTTTATGTGAAATTCTAAATATTTAAACAAAAATAGGTAAATACATTTAGCTAATGCTAACCTACCTTGAATATTCTTGTTGCAAAGTTTCAAAATAAAATTATTTCAGAGCTTATTTGTTCTACCTTGTTGCTATTATGGCTGATACATGAAAAATAGATCTACCTTGCCCAAGACTGAACATTCGCTTAATAAAAATTATAAATGACCAACCAGCCTTTTGAATAATGGCTGAGAGTAAAACAAATTTGAAATTGCATCGAACTAGAACTAAAGCACAGAGATCTAAGATAGCAAAGTTCTTAAGGCCAATGTGCCTCATACACACTTCTCTGTAGCTTACTGTGCGGTTACATTCCACAAAAATCAAAGGAAACATGTGTTTTCTACTGCTTTTGGACATCCAGTGAAAAAGTATAAATCTTAAAGTTACCTTTCAATGGCCCAAATAGTTAAAATATGTGGGGCAGGGCCTACTGGGCTTGTCCTGATACAGAGGTGGTTGCTACAAATGTGTAATCTCTCTCTCTCTCTCGTAATCTCTCTCTCTCTCTCTCTCTCTCTCTCACACACACACACACACACACACACACACATTCTTTCTATTAAATAACGTGAGCTAGAATTTCAGAGTTTGGCAAAGGACTTTGAAATGTGAAATTTAGAAGACCATTTTTCACTAATAAAATACTTTTTTTTTTTTTTTTACTATGCTAATCCACAAATAAATATATACAGTATCTCCAATTTCTCCAATAGAAAGGGTGGATGTGTTTCTATTGCATCAAGTATATTTTTTCACTTCTTTCATCTCCTTGACCAGCACTGGATGATGGCTGCTCAGGGTCAGCAGTTGGGGATTAGATTATGGCAGGGCTGGGAGTGACTGAGAACAAGGCTCACAGGCTCATGGAGGGATGGTTGGCCATGATGGCATACGGCTGACTTGCTTTGTAAAAAATAAAAAATAAAATGAAGCCAATGACTATTCAAAACTGATCCATACAGAGCCATAAATCTTATTGCACAATGCTTAAAATAAACAAGCCATCTCTGTTGTTGCCTCAAGCTAAAATATCCCAGACTTTAAAGTCACTGGGCATTTTCACAATAAATCACTACAAAAGATGAGTAAACTGTCCCTCAACATGAAGGTACTAAAATCACCAAATAATTAATTCAACAGACTTTCTTTGCAGTTCCCAATGAAAAAACAACCATGCCTAAGTAATCATAAACCATAGAAAGATTAGTGGAAAAACAGAGCAGGACTTAACCAAAATCTACCAAAGGAAAAAAGTTTTAACCAGGGAGAAGGTAGTATCAAATAAAGATTTGTTTTCCCTTTTCACCTGCTTCACCTTCCAACATAACAAAACATTCTAGTCTCAAGTTACAAATCCTAAAGCAATTTAAGAGTTTTGAAAATATCAGTGAAAATTTTTTTAAAAAGGTTTTATTATGTTTATTGCCAGCAAGAAGAGAAAGTATAACCATGTGTTAGCATCTTTAAGCACAAAAAGGTATGATTTTCCAATTAAGACAAAGTAATAAACTGATTATTAAGATAACCAAACCTTCAGAAAAGAGGCATTGTTAACTGTAGGTAAACTATCCATTTGCACTGCTCTGATTACCAAAACTACCCAACTGACCACTGCTTATCAAGGAAATAAATGGAAACACAGAGGAGAGTCAGGAAGACAGCTTATATTAAATGCAGTAAAGCTTCATTTCAAATATTGAGAAATTAGAAGATAACCATATATATTTTTAAGAATAATAATATAATGAATCTTTTAACTGAGGGTAAACTGAACAGTTATATAAATAAACTATCACTTAATTACATTAAATAAGTCAGCAGTTTCCATATCCTAAAAAACTATAGATTTTATATTTTTCTTAAAAATTAATTTTAGTGATATAATTTCCCTATCCCAAAATAAATGTCTTGTCTTATTATTTATTTGAAAACTATAGTTTAGAAAATCAATCCCACTACTGTAAAGCAAAAAGTCTCTTTGAAGAACAATAAAAAATGACTATAATGTGAGGACCAAGGAAACAACTTGCTCCTGACACGTAGAAGACTACGTGGAAGTGGTTACCCACTGAGGACTGGACTGTCATTAATTACCTGCTATCAAGTTGAACAACAAGCCACCTCTAAACCTCTAACTCTAAACAAGCAAAGGAGATATGTTCTGATGGCTTGATGCTTACACCACGATTTCCCCAGATTCTAAACACTCAACTTTAATATAAAGGCAAAATGTTAACAATTCATCTTGCCACATCCACTACTGCTTCTAGAACCCTAAAAAGATGTCCTAAGACATAAAAATAAAATTCTAAATAAAAATAAAAATAAAATTCTTAAAAATAAATTCTAAATATAAAAAGAAAGATCCCATTTCCTCATGGATAAGAACACTAACAGGAAGGAATATCAAGACTATTCATTTTTTAAAGGAATATTATGTGTCATGTACTGTACGAGGCTTGGGAAAATCTGGAGCTGCACACAATGTTGTTCCTCTGCTTGAAGGGCCTAGAGAAGGAGACAGTCAGGTAAATACATGATGAGACCATGTCTCAAGCATAACAACATATGGGAACAAAAAGAAAACATATGCCTGATTGGAGAGGTCACAGAAAGCCATCTAAGAATTGCAAACAATCTGCACTGAGTTTTAAGAGTGAAGAGGAGTCTGCCAAGTAGAAAGAAGGGAAGAACATTCTAGATAGTGGGCTAGTACATGCTAAACACAGAGGCAGAAAAAAAACGTGGCATGTTTTGGTCACTTCAAATTGATAGGCTGAATTTGCAGAGTACAGCACTGGTGGGAAAGTGTAGGCAAAGACCAGTTCCTAAGGGAATTCATGTCAGGCTAAGTAGTTCTGACTTCATTCTGTAGACAGATGGTCAGAGACACTGATGGGTTTTAAGCATAGGAATTATAAGATCCAATGTGTGTTTCAGAACTCTGGAAACACTCTGGTGGAATCAGTGAGGAATGTAACCGGAGGCGATGAGATTATAAACAGAGCAGCCAAACAGTAAGCCATTGCAAACATTACAGGTGAAAAATTATAAGGGTCTAAAATTAGGATATTGGCAGAAAAACTGGAAAGGATTGAAAAGAGATCTGAAGTTATGACAAGCAAGATGAGGTACTGCTCTGCATCAAAAAAGGCCCTTTGGTGAAGTTGCCCGTGCATTTCACAAGCCTCAGCAGCCCATGTGATCCAGAGAGCAAAAGGAATCCCCTCATTACTGAGGAGACTTCAGGAAACTCCCCGTACTCACAAATGAGTAGAGCTTTAAATACTCCATCCTTACACTTGTGGAGGGGTTGGTTACTGAAGTTTCAAAATGTGGATCTGTCTCCAGACTTAAGGAGCTACGTGCCTCTAACTGGACTCAGCAATTTATTTTAGTTGGATAAATAAACTTCAGCACACCTTCTTGAGAATTCTCAAATTAAACAGTTACATGTATCAAGGTCAAGAGTGTCAGCAATAGGTACTATTGGGCAGTTGTGCAAAGGCTTGGTAGACATCTTTAATAACAATCTTAAATGTCTATTTTGGAAAGCTAAGATAACCAGAGACTATGAGTTCTTTACAGGAACATACCATGCTTTATTCATTTTTTGTTGTAGTTTATATTCCTAGTGTTTGGCCCACAGTAGGGATTAAATATGCATTTGCTAGATAAATGAAGAGATGAATGAATGAATAGTATTACTATATTCAAGGACTGCTTCTTTGGCCTTTAATTATCAAAGTGATACTTTCCTATTAGGTCAATAATGGAGCATTAATGATTAGATAAAAACCAGTTTTAAAAAAACACTGATAAGAAATCTAATATATATATAAAATTGTTTCCTCCAAATAAGTTTGGGGTTAGCTTAGTGATTCATATTTAGAAGGGTAGCAGGAAACATTAATTACATGTTAACTTCAACACAAGTACTTTCATACCGACCTATAAGCTTAGCCATTTCTGGACTAAATAGGTTGGGAAAACTGTCTTAACAAGCATTCAGCTACTTTCTGATTCTAATTCTAATAATTAAATATGATTAACATGTAAAACACTTAGCATAGCACACAGTAAGTGCTCAATAAGTGTCATCTATGATTATTAGGAGGTATAAGAATGATAAGTTCAAGCCATGGCCCTTTTGTAACTGGGTCTTGAAAAGAAAAAGGTAAGTTTTTTACCAGTATAATAATAAACTAGTTGCTACAGAATATAAGGCTTCTAGGTTTCAAATACATAGTTCAATAATGTCAGTCATATCTAAACATTTAAAATCCACAAAAGGCATATATAGTATGACACAGAAGTCACATTTCCTTAACTGCCTTTCTGAAGATAAGAAGTGCAGCTAGGACATGCAAGGTACTTTAAAGTTCAGAGCAAACTTTCATATGGCTCTATGAAG